GTGACTGTATTTTACAAAATAATAGTCTACTAAAACACAGCCAAGACAAGTTACTTTGTAAAGACCAAAGATCAGTATTATGTTATTGGATACGGTAACATGAGTGCACGTGTGTCATGTAATTGTAACTTCTATATTGCTAGCCAGGCACAGGTGAAAGGTTAATATAATAAAAATAATAAATATATATAAATGTATATTTATGTTATAATTTGTGTTCATTCTAGAATGAAAGAGGCATAATTTATATTTACTTCCTAATTTTTTATGTTAGTTGCAAGATCAGTCAAGTCTACCAAACCCGTACAGAGATTAATTACCGAAAATAACAGATAAAATATACTGTTTTTTCTGAAGAAACGTTTGATAACTATCTGGATATTATAAAGATTTCGAAATTTCCTGATGCATTAAAGTATTTTTAATCTTAAAATGAATATTAATTTGCATGATAGATAGGCAACATGCAAAAAATAAAAGCAATGAGAAAAACATTGCTTTATAAACTTTAAGACTTGATAAAAAAATTGATATTTTGCATATGAAAGCGTTGTAATGTTTACTGATAATCTGCCAAATTTCGTTAACATTTGCTTACTAATTAAAAAGTTATAGCAGGAAAACTATAACAGCACAAAATGGTTACAAGGTAGGTCCTAGGGACTGAGCCCGTGCTGAAAGAGTTAAATGATTATTTCTCCTACTTTTTTAAAGACATTTTATAGTAAAACGTTGTATATTTACCAGCATGATAAATTAAAAATCTTATTATAATTATATATTACTTATCATTGTTGCAGTCTCTACTCAACATAGTATCAACTTGATAAATATGACTCGTTCATTCTGTATTATGTGATTAACTGGTATCACATCTGTAACTCGAGATTGTATTCACTGTGATTGTATATAGTCACAAACCTCCAAGAGACACCTTTAATGTATTATACAGTAATTGACAAGTTACCAAGCATCTTCAAGCTGTCCAAAAATGGACGTAACAGACACTAACAAAACTTCTGTTGTGCTGTATGTGGTGGATCCTGGCCCCAACTTCAGGCTCTGAAGGGGTGCGTGTGTTTTCTAATTTTCTTGTGGAAAAGGTGTATATTTTGTGAGGTCATCTGGGCCCAAGAAATGTTGCAAAAAAGGATATTTGAAGCCCTGTTCCCAAGAAATTGAACAAAGGGGTCTTAAAATAGTAATAATCCTTTCATAAGGGAGTAAAATGTTTAATTTCCCTAGAAAAGAGAGAAAAATAATGGGGAAAAACTTGTGAAAGGGGGATAAAAAAATCTCTGGTTTCCATAGGGAAAGGGATTGTTCTGGAATTTAGGTACAAACATACGTGTTGGTACAACTGGCTACTAAATTAGGTATGTGGGGAGGCTGTGGATAAAACAAGATTTCGAATTTATGTTTTGGTGGAACAAAAATCAATAAAAGATGCATAGATCCAAGGATATTTGTGGTAGGGCATGGCCTGGAACTAGAGATATGATAAATATCTAAAGGAAAATAACCTGCTATTAATGTGGCAAAAGAAAAACAAACCAAATCACACCGTACTAACCACTTTACACCCATGTTGGCTGGAACGTGATCATTCAGCTAGATGTAGTCCTGAACCAGAACAGATAATGTGATGATTTCTTCTGCCAATTAAATGAGTCCTTCAGTTTTGTAGTACATCATTTGATGTAGTTTTTAATTTATTGTAAAACAATATTTGTATCTTATCCAACAATGAGTGACCTAGGCTACCGTTGAGTGTTATTCTTTATTGTATTCCATTGATTGTACTTCCAAGCTTTTTTGTGTTTTACTATACGAACATGGCAAGAATTTGGGGATTTTGTTTTTGCTTTCTCTTTTTAAGACAAAGTACAAGTTCTGAACTCACCAAGTGTGAAGTGTGACAATTAAAAGAGTGAACGCTTCAATAAACACTGAAAACTATGTTCATTCACTATGTTCATCAACCAGTCATACGTGTTTTCATCCTATTTATTTGATGGAATTGAACAAACTCATTTTACACCATTGTATGTTTTACAGTATGATTTATTTCTCTCTTTTTTTTTTAGCAGGGTTTTATTTTCTTTTTTGACATTTTATCTGTCAGTGAATCTTAGTAAGTACTACAATAAAGAAAAGTCTATTGGTTATAGAAGAATTCATTCATTTATGGGTTGCTTTGTTACGAAATATGGAAAAAATACATTGGCAAGGTAATAGCTCTTGGTGGTGCAGAGAAGTATCTGTCTGAAATACATTATCAGATAAGGAAAACGTTAACATTAGCTGTTTGCTCATTGTAAGTGCTCAAAATTATTCCTTTTTAACATCCCTGATTTTTTTTAATGGTACAGAAAATGTGTTCTTCTGTAACATACACAATTGAATTAGATGTAGTTTTCCAGTAACATGACAGTTAAATTTATCATCTTGGTTGTATTATAATATATATATATTTTGAAGCGTTTAAATCTACAGAATTTGCTAATTCATTACAGGAATGGCTGAAACTGAAAATAATGCACCTAAAGAACTTAATCCTACTTGTTCTCTAAGTTCTGAGACATCAGGTGCTTCTAGTGTTGAATCCAAACCGTCAACGAGTATGGTTATTAAGGAAACTTGTAGAGAAGGTTCTTCTGTTTCGAGCAATTCAAACACAATACTCATAAAAAAATTTAATCAAGAAGTAACCAGTGCTACTGGGAATACTGTTGAAAAAGTTGATGTTAATGGTCGAAGTATATCTAGCACCCTTGAAGATGCTAGTGACAAAAATGACTGTACACCTTTAGATTGTTCAACAGAGCAAGCCAATAAAGATAATGAATCCAGTAAATCTGAGACAAGCTGCTATTTTGTATCTGATGTCCACATCTCCTCTCTACAGGATAATTCAAATGGTAAAGTTCTGGTTCATCAAAATGTCAACTCTTCAAATGAAACTCAAACCTGGCTGAAGCCATCAGGATTATTTGTTGAAACTCCTAAAAATAAAAGCTTAATTTTTGGACAGTTTCAAACTTTTACTGGTCAGAATTATATGAATCCATATGTACATTTTAATAACCCATCACTGTTGAATTATAAAATTGTTGAAAACATAAATAAAATTGAATACCAGCCTGAATCGTCAAAAGTTTCATCAGTTCTCGATGGTGATTCTTCAAATAAAAAAAAAACTAGTTGTGAACTTAGAAGTGAAGAACTGAATCCCGAAGTTTTGAAAATGAATTCTCCTGATACAGTTTCTGCTGATGATAGCTGTTTAGTGCCTCATACAGATGAACTCGAAGAACCTATAGTACCAAATACAAGTACATTTGAAATAAAACCAACTCTGAATTTTTCAGACCATAAAAAAAGAAGAGGCACAAGTAGTTCTACCACAGTTGATTCGAAGGAAGAAGTGGAGAAAAAGTTTTTCAAAGTAGACACTAAAGTTAACTTTGAGTTTCAACCGTGGCTGAATGACAATAAAAAAATCTTAAAATCTGATAAAGAACAAGACTGCAGTAACAAAAACTTGTCAGGCCCAAATCAGGAGTTTGATACTAAGACAAATAGTGTTTGCAAAGAGCACGAAAGACCTTCCTTCACAGAATTTAAGAATTGTCACATAAAAAAATTCAATGAAGGACAAAGTAATGCTCTGCGAGATATACCTAGCCCATCAACAATTATATTTGACCAGAATCAGCCCCATTCTAGAAATTCTGAAAGCAACAGTAATAGTAGATTCTTTGATGGTAGAAGTTTCTTGTTGGAAGATTCCAATGGTCAAGTTGATAATTATGCAAGAGAAGTTGACCAGGATGTCACAAGGCATCCACGATCGTATCAGTGTGATATCTGTCACATGAAATTCACCCAGTTTGCTAACATGCGCAGACACAAGCTGAGCCATTTTGGAGTTAGACCTTTTGAATGTCGCCTGTGTCCAAAACGTTTCTTCCGAAAAGATCATCTAATGGAACACGTTGTAAGACAACATTCACTACAACGACCCTTCTGTTGCCCTTTCTGTGTTAAAAGTTTTAACAGCCGATCACAATTAAAAACACACTTATCAACTGATCATAGTGGGGATAAACTTTGCAGGATATGTGGTTTTGAATCTGTCTCTGTTGCTGGAGCTAAAGTGCATTACCTGTCTCGCCATGGAAAGTTGAACTCTGAGAGTCTAGAAAGTTCTTCAGTGTCCAACATGGGAATTGATCTAGTTCAGTCACCTATTGAAAGAGCTGTTGACTTAAATGTTGTTTCTCAAAACTTTGTTCCTGGTATGCTTCATCCTCCTGTTGTATCTTCAAATCAGTTAGTAGATGGTAGTAAATCTTATTCAACACACTTGTTTTGTGTTCCACCTTCATTAACTGTTGGGTCTGTTTCATCTTCAACAAACACATTTTGCACCTCCAGTACATCTCCAGTGACATCAGATACTCATTTTTTCTGTAATGCTCTCTCTTCTCGAATAAATCATAATAAGCCGCTGGACGTAGCAGTTGCTTCAGATCAAACCACTTGCTTGTTAGGAACACACAACATTAGAAAAAATATTATTAGATTAGATCCTTCTTTTAAAAGTCCATTGTCACAAAAAGTTCTTCCAGCTTCAAATGCAACATCACATACTAATACTTCACTTACACTTCAAACAGATCCCATGAATGTTTCTTCAACAGAAACAACATTTCATCATTCTAATGTTTCTTCCCAAGGAAATAAACAACAAGTAACTCAGTGTTCCTCAGGCTCTGAGTATCCTGATACATCTGAAGTTTCTAAGAAGTTTGTGATTAAAACAGAGCCAAGAGATGCAAGTATCCAACTCATTGGTGTCAAAATGGATGATTTTTCCTCACACACCATAAAGAATTATGATCTGAATCAAGAAGGGTTTTCATCAAATATAGACAACACTTCAGAAACTTCTTGTGATTCTGGTGTTTCTGGAGACTTCAAAGAAAAGAAGCAAGAGAATAGTAATGTCTCTGATCAAACATCTCGCTCTTCAACATCTAATAAAGATGAGTACCAAAAAGTAGTTGTTATGTCTGACCACCAAAAGAATCCACACACATCTACAGAATCATTGACATCGGAGTCTCCTGTCTGTCCAAGATATTCAGTGAGAAAACACCAGCCTTCGCAGTCCTCAGATAGTGGATGTGCTACAGAAGAGTTAGCCAATGCTGAAAGGATATGTCGTATATCCCGGTGTACCCCTCAAGGTAGCACATCTAGTGATAATTGTCCTGGTTCAAGTGAAGATAACAGTGCCGCCAACCAAAGACAAACATCTCGTGACGTTCCACGATCACAACAGGACAAATACAGAGCTCCGTCGACATCTTCAACTGATGGAACAGCTGAAACAACCATGCATGTCAAACCCGATCCTGATAGCGTGAATAGAGGAAACAATAATTCCCAGGACCAGTCATTGGTATGTTCCCATTGTGAAATCACATTTCAAGATCAGACACTTTATTTTCTCCACAGGGGTCTACATTCAGGCTCAAATCCCTGGAAATGTAACTTGTGTGGCCAAGAATGTAGAGATAAGTATCATTTCACTTCTCATATAATCAGTGATGCTCACGATTAGACTGTTTTCATCCACTTGCTTGTCATGTTATTGTAATGGTGCTTGAGTAAAAAGTAAATTATATGTTGCATTGAATTGAAAAAATAATACAAAAAAAAACACGTGTTTTTGTAAAATATGTATTGCATGTATGGTATGTGATATTAAGACTAGGCACGCATTTTGATACTTTAAAATTTTTGAACATTAATGTATAAAAATGGTACATGAACAAAAATGGATTGTTGATAGAGTGTAGACAGTTTTACTGCGTTATTAATTCATGTTGTCAGTTTTCATTTGTAATTAGTATGTCATTGAACTTTCACTTATTTGCAGGTATTGATTATTTAACTAGACAAAAGGACCAGACTGAACCTGTACATGTACTAGAGTTATGACACAGCTAGTAAGATTTAGGATTTACAAGTTAAATATACTTCAATATTTGAACAAAACTTCATGTTCATCTTGATTTTGAACCTTTTTTTTTTTTTGAGGGGGGGTGTTTCGAGCAAACACCCATAATTTGACTAAAATACACTGTATTTAGTATACTCACCTATAAGCTGACAGTTTTTGTTATTAAACTGTTCTCATCACTAAACATCCAATCTATTGAAATATATAAGTTTTATTAAACTATTATAATTGTTCTTAAAAGTTCTCTCTCAGCAGTATGCTTAATTCCAGCAAACCCATATATGGGATGTATGCTGTTGTTGTAATGAGAAAGTGAAAAATCTAGGGTGTGTTAAACTTTAGCCTTTTAATGTTGTAAATAACTCCAAATTATGAGTTTAGTCTTAAGAATTGAAAACATATAACAAAAACCTATTTAACATCTTATATGTTTCACAGCTGTTGACTGTATGCTAGTAGATTATAATACACTTGTCTTAGCAAACAGTTACAATATTTAACTGAACAATAACATCACCATAAAGAAAACTTACGGAAAGCATGTTACAGTTGTACTTCATTACCTTAAGGAATTTATATTTTCAGCAGGTTTAGAAAATGTTTACGTTCTAATTAGACCTAGTGTTAAGTCTTTTTTTAACAATGACTTGTAGAACTTTGGAAAGATAAGGTATTTCATGGTATAAAGAGCATATTAAAGCAAGTAACAAGTGTTCAGTATTTTTGTTGTATTTGCCAGAATGATTGAAGTTTATGTTAACATAATGACTACTTAGTAGACTGTTATCTAGTTTGTGACATAATCCTGTAGAAAGTAGTATTCGTTTTTAAAACTAGTTTTAAGTCTGAAAAATACTAACATAACTCTTGTGATAAATGTTTTTACTATCCTATCATTTTTATCGTATAATTTGACAACTTAAATCATTGATATTGTAAGTGTTTAGAAAAATGCTTCCCATATATTTTCTCAGACCACATGCAAAGTTTGAATGAAATTGGTAGATGAATTTTGTAAAATATGAAACGTTAGGGAAATATGTGTAATGTATCAATTCGTTAACATACTCCGTATTGATATTTTACTCGTTAGTGTTTCCTGTAGTATAATCAGCCCACTACGCTGTAAGACTATAAACAAGTATTATTTGTACAGTTTGTTGTATTTGGTGACTATAGTTATGTTAAAGACATGGTGGTTTTAAATAAAAACTGTCTCAGTATTTAAAATGATGTTACTGAAAACCAGTAACCTTTTTTTATCTTCTCACATTATCAGTCTTTGAAATGGTACTAAGTTTACCGATACAGTGATCATTTTTCAAATAATAACAATTGTAGTGAGGGCTTCAAGGGATAATCCAACAAAGTGATGTCACTATTTTGAGTAATGTATATCAACTGTCTTGAGTGCAAACCTGACATATACATCATTGTAATTTTTCTTTATTTATAGATATTGTTAAGATACAGTTGAGTGATTGTTGATGTTATACAGTAAGATTATATTTGCATTATAGATTTTACACAATCAGTATCATATATATATAGTTTATATAAATATGTTGTATTTTATAATGCTAATGTCATTGAGTGAGTTACTTTAATATTTTACTAGTTGGAATAACTGTGTAGTACATATTTGTACACTATTTTTTATTAGTGTTTTCTTTTAACTATCCCCAAAACCTTGCCTGGTACAAGTACTTGAATACCACGTTGTGCCAATGTTTAGACAGCTATGTTGAATGTGTTTTATGTTAGATATGTGGCTTATGTTTTACCGTATGTGGTTCCATATTATTTTTACTTGCCTATAATTATTTTTCTGATCCATAAAAGAAATTGTTTTTTTGTATGTTTACATGTCCGGTAATTTATGTGGTTGCTGTATTAGTATCGTGAAATGTTCTCTGAAAGTAGTCCGTTTCACAGCATATTTGTAATAGTAAACTGAAGTACATGTATAACTATCAGTAATGGTCACCCTGTAGATCCCAACATGTATGTTATGTACTGGTGTTTGACTTCTTAATTCCTCTGCCTTTTGTTTGTGATTAGTTTGGAAACCAGGAATGTTTAATTTATAAATTTTTTCTTAGAACAAACAAACAAATAGTATTGTACCCATTTAGTCCTAACAACAAATTCCAAAACAGATTACATATGTTTGTGTTAGTTTTTGATTATCGTAGAATAGGTGAAAAAACAAACTGAGCATTCAATTTAACCAATTGTGATGTGAAAGATAAAAGAACAGTTTGTGTGCATTTGACTTTTTTAGAAAAGCTAAAAAACAAATATGTACAACTTCAGTCATCTCTACACAAAAGACAAAAGAACATGTTTTTTTTTGGTGTTGATTTCTTCACCTTCATAAAATGAAAGAAAAAACTGCATGTTCGTAAGTTTAGGTTTCATAGGATGAACAAAAAATTCATTTTTTTATATATATTCCTAGAGTTGTGTTTGTTTGACATCAAAATACGTGTTTACTGGCTTCTGAAAAGAAGAGATATATAAGAATATGTGGCTGTTACTGATAATTGATTGAAGATGTATTTATGTTGTAACTTTTTTACATATTTATACATCATGCATATAATCATTTTTCACTAGTAATATGGATGTTTCAGCTGCTTATCAATGTGATGGGTTTTGTTATTTGTTAGTTTAATACCGACATGAATTGCCCGTGTCAGGATACACTGAATGTTATTATACAATTTGTACTGTACTTTGTCCCTAATAGGTGTGTTAGGAGTCTGTTATTGTAACATGTCCCTAATACGTGTGTTAGGAGTCTGTTATTGTACCATATTATCTTTCAAAGGTAAATGCAGATGTTACCTTTACACAGTGCTCAAAATTTTTCATCTGTATATCAAAATTTCAACAGTTTTTTAAAGTTGTGTATAACTTTCTGTATATTGTTTTGTATGAAGTTTTGATCCTGGTCTTTATGGTATTTTAGAATGCACAAGAGGTTGTTTTAAAATAGAATATATTTTGACTGTTGTTCTGTACACAGTTTGTTCTACATGTAGTTGCTTATTTAAAGACAAGGGTTATTATTTAACTTTTTTTAACCAGTACTTCTGTACTTCATATTTGAATGTATCATACCGAAGAAAGTTTTTAATTGCATTATTTACCAAATTGAATTAATGAAATATATTCAGTTAACAGAACAAAATATAGAATAATTTCTGACATATAATTTTATAAGTACCTTTATGTAACCAAATCAGTAATATTGAAAATACGTTTTCAAATAAATATTTACTGCAGTTCAGTGGTGAAGCTATTACAAATAGATAAATGGAAGAACGGTGATAACTTGGTACTACTAATTTATGTATTTCTCACTGTTTGACTGTCAATCACAAATTGAAATTTTTAGATTATTATAACCCAGGTTTTGCTGGATTTAATAATACAGAATTATTAAAACAATAAATGAAATGGAACAGTCAATTTTCTTATGTTTACAGTTGTACTATTTTTAATTTTAGAACTTTACACTTACAATTCAGTAGTTTAAATTTTAAGTAAAGTTTTGCCTTATTGAAGAGTAGAGAAATATTAAAAAAAAATTGCACAAAACATTTTAGCTTTTTCTTATTCCAAACTGAAAAACGTTAAATTGCATAACTGCTACACTTATATGGAAATTATTTTTGTGTGTGTATGAAAGTTACTAAACGAAAATATGTTTTGCCAAATATGTGATGACTTAGCCTGACGGACAATTATTTTGAAATATAGTATTCACACTGACAATGAAGTTAAATTTTTCAATTCATGATCTAATAATTTTTGTGAATTATATGAAATCTTTCTTGTTAATATAATAATATAAAAATTGCTGGCAAAAAACTCATCCATGCATATATGTTTCCATTTATTTTTGTGTGTGTGTTTTATTTTTTACTACAAAAGGCTTGTGATACTTCATTATTAGTCTGTGTCAGTGCCAGATGTTGGTATTTATGATATGTTGATGGTGTATTTTGTACAAGTATATGTAAACTAAACTGGTATTGAATTTTTGATACTTATGGAATTATATGTCATGATGGTTTTCCATTCATTAAGATAAAGTAGTTACTATTTAAGTACAGTCAATATACTTAAAAAAAAAAGAAGGTTATTGTGGAATTTACTTAGTTGTATAAGAAAAATAAAAAGCTTAAACTAGGATCCAGACTAAAATTCTTATAATTTAATACTGTATTTTTGTAAACAATTCTGGAAACACAAGCCCAATTTGTAATCACTGAATTATACTGTCTTTTTGTGATATCCTAATTTGATTAGCAGTGTATATTATTGTCATGGTAACCAGTATTTCTTAATACTGGGATTCCATTGCTGTATAATTGTGTTGTCAGCTGGTCAGTTGCTTAATTCTTTACCTCCATTGTAGGTAGTGTAGCATTATATGTAATTTTGGAACAAAGGAATCTTTGCTTCTTTAATCGTTAATCTTTTCATCAGTAAGTCTTCTTTTACAATTTAATAAAAATTGATATCAAATGAAGAAATTTTTATCAGATAAATAAAATTGACTTTTGACAAAAAAAATGTTAGATTTTTGGCAGCTTACACTGTATGTGTATGAACCATTTATAAAAAGTTTATTGGTTTGAAATATAATGTTTGGAGTATCGTATGAACCAACAGACAAGGTGGAATGATATGCTCTTTCATTAGACAAACAATTTTGTATTTACGTAATTTTGGTAGTGTTTTTTAAGAGTGTACAGGATGATTGTAAATAAATCCGTATATCTAAAATGATTGTACATTAGAAACTACTTGTCATTGGGAAACTAAATTTCAGCCTAGGCACATTAAAAATCCCAAGTTTTCTGAGCGAAGTTTAGAAAGTCTGGATGTACAGTTTATTTCATAAACTTATACATTGTGTTCAGTATGCTTTCCCTCATTCTGAATCAACGTATCAAGCTTATTCCTTAATGGAACTACTGAAAGCATTATTGATCTTAACAATATTCCTTGCAATCTTCTTTGTAATGGTTGTTCTAATTTTGTGAGCTATTTTGATAGACAGCTTTGAGGAAACTCCTTGGTCAAAAATCTGTTAACCATTGTCCAGGGATCTCATCTGCATTCCCGCCAAAGTAAATGGCTTATAAATCTGTCTTTATAGAAGTTGCCTTTTTAACAGTATGGATTGTCCTGATCTCACTGGAAGGTGATGTTCTCACTCATCCAGGCATGAAATGACATGGTCTTCCAGCATTTTCTTGTAATAGACTGCATTTATTGATGTTGTCAATTACATCAGCAACTTCAGTGAAGTAGGATTGTGGCTAAAGAAGCCACAACACATAGTAGAGTGAGGACCATGAATATCCTTGTGGTGAACTGTATGGATGGTTTAAGTGAGCTTCATTTAGTCATGTATCATCAATCCTTGGCCAAAATATAATGTGCAAAATGAAGCCACAAAAGTGAATCACCCCCCTTAATGACATAAAGGTGATAAGTTTTGAGCTTCAGTATTTTTTTTTCCACTTTATAGTTTGTGGCAAATCAAGTTCTTGCTGCTTGAAGAAAAAAGATATTTCCCAAGTTTTATCTTGGATATTCTGAGTATTCTTTGTTGCTGTTTCCATAGGTACAGATGGCTGCCTAGGATGAGAACATCTTTTTTATGGATCCAGTTGCCTTGAACTGATGGATTGATTTTTTAAAATTTTTAGGGCACTTGTGGAAGTGGGCAAATATTTTCTTTCTAGCCCACCAGTGGATCAGAGGTAAGTCAGAAGGATTATAACACTAAAAACCGTGTTTCAACACCCATGGTTGGCACAACACAGATTGCCCATTGTGTAACTTTGGGCTTAACAACAAAAACATCTTCTCCGTGCAATTTCCTTTTGACCAAAGTGTAAAACTGCCATTATTTTGATAGTGCAGTTGAACATCCTTTGCACAATTGTGCTCACTGCCAAACATTTTATAGAAGTCACAAATTTTGTATTGTTAAAAGAATGAGAAAGAAGGTAAACAAATCCATGCTAATTTGTGACAAAACCAATTTAAACACACTCTTTACTGTATCCAGATGTTCCTGAATAAAACTTATAATTTTCAATGTGATTCTGGTAAAATTTTCTTTCTCTAAGATAACTAGGCTTTAAGATATATTATCATTTTGACTATGAGATTTTCTCTATAAACATCCTGTATATATATAGACTATTAAGTTCTAAGTTTCTTTTTTTAATACTATGTGATTAGTTTACCCCAAAACTAATAAACCTAATCCCACAAACACTCTTATTGTTTTATACATAATGTAGATTAGCATTTAAATTGACATAATGAAACTGAAGTACCAGCTTATATTGGGGCAAAATGATTAATTATATTTATGGCACCTTTAAAAACATACATGAAATGTGTTCTCTAAAAACATACTTGAAATGTGTTCTTT